CGTTGTCGAGGGCAGAAGTAGCCTCGTCCAGGAGGAGGATGGGAGGGTCGTTGATGATCGCGCGGGCGATCGCGATCCGCTAAAAAAAACAAAACAAGATCGACAAAAAAAAACGTGTCATTAGACGTGCGCGAAAGCGATGACAGGAAAAAGGTGATAGGCAATGAAACGTCAACGGTGATGGGGGCGGGGCGGAGCGTACAGGGGCGTATGTACGTGAAGATATCGCGGATCCAAACCGTCCTCTTTGAGATGTTGTGCGCACTGCGCAAGGCACCCTGGGACACAATCCGATGGCTGCAGGGAAAAGGTGAACATGTACCCAATACCGCCGTGTACATATTGCGAGGTAAGTGTTGCAATGTGGCGTAGTTCATCGCCCACGAACACATGTGGTGAATTCCAACTTTTCACCCACGGTCATCCCATCTCCTCGATTGTCTCGGAGATGATGCATACAATAGAACTTCAGCCAACCATGTGATTGCGTACATGCTGCAATTTGCGAGCGTTGTACATACCTACAACCTGGGAGATACCGATGGACGCCTCATTGACCGCCCGTCAAGGCACCGCTCTTTCTTGCCAAAGATACTAGTTATAGTGTGGGGAGTTAATCGTCCTTTACGCGTCTATCGAGGGGTAAACAAGCTCGAACTTGGGTCGACTGACAGCTTTGCAAAAAATAGACGTACACCCGCAGTACAGAAGCACTCGCTCTCTTCTGTTTTCCCACCTGCTTCTGGCCACCGGAGAGAAGGGCGCTCTTTTCGCCGACGTCGGTTTCATAGCCGTCCTGAAACAGATTAAAAAAAATTAAAAAAACATGGGGGGGGGTGAGGGGAGAACAAAAAAGAAAATGTGGAAGCAAGAAACTTGTCGCGTGTTCGCAGGTAGCAAAAGAAAACGGGCGAAACAAATTTCCGAACGTGTGTTCCTGTTGTAGCTTTCTCATTCCCACCCCGTTCCCCGGTAGAGACAGACTTTTTCTCAGTCGACCAAGCAATACCTCAACCGCCGGCCCCGGTTAATGCAAGGATGATCACCAGCTTCTGGGTACATCCTCGTGACGCGTAGCGAAAACTCAGCAGAATGCTCCGTCCCGGCATTGTAGGGAAGACATTGAGGTATACGGTCTACCGACTACGGCATGCGTTCATGTCAGCGCCTGCCCCCCCCCCCCCCCCCCCCAAAAAAAACCCCCCGCGGGGTCCCCCCCCCTGAAAAAAAAGAAAAAATTCTGGGCCAAAACGGAATTGGCCCCCTTTTTTATTTCACCCCAGGAAGCCCCCCGCTTCCCCCCCGCAAAGTTTTCCCGGAAGGGGCCAAAAAAAAAGCC